ATTTTCTCTCTAATTAGCACCTGGGCATAAGCAGATTTCTAGCTTTTTCGTTGCAGCTCTGAACTAAATCCTATGAAATACAACATTATTCTATTTTCATAATCAAATTCATGACATCCACTTGTTCACATCGGTGTGCCGGTGTGACTGCCCCACGTTGGGCGCCAATATGTGAGGGTTCGTTATTAGGGGCTTCTTTCACACCCAATAAAGTATGAGACTGTTTAAATTCAACAACATGGTCTTCATTTATTAACATTCCAACATTAACTGCAACTTCCTTTTGAACAGTATTTAACGTATCTTGCTGTCGAAACCTTGACTGCAAGGGTGTCCATTAACAAACGTATTTAGTTCGTCAAATTCCCACGGTCCAGATAAGACTTTCTCTACAACCGGGGTTTCACCTTCTTCTCCCTCCACCGCGGTAAGGTTTCTTCATCTCCACTCCAACCCCAGAGTGGGGAACCCCCTCTCGGACTGGCCAGCCACGGTCCGGGAAGACTCCCATCTTCTGGAGCTCAGAAAGATGCCATGTCTTCTTGGCCTTGATCTCCCTTGCTATCGCCTCACGTTCTTCTCGGAGGTAACGTCTCCACTCCTTTGCTTCCATCTCTCCCCAATAGGATGGACGTAGTTGCTGACCCTGGTGTCTTCGCTGTTCAGCCTCCTCGTGGGGAACCTTGACTTTTTCCCATTTTCCTGTCCAGGGATCCTGGACCCAAACCTTTTCCCAACCACCCGGGATGTCGTCCTGCTTCTCCCTTATATCCCCTACACACACACATCCCTTCCCAGTAGACCATCTGAATGGAAATGCAAACCATGGTTGAAGAAACCGAAGCATTCCTGGTGGCACCATCTATGGAGCCAGGTATTCACCTCTGTTATTCTTCTCTCCCTTCGTGGGACACATACTTCAACAGGGAGGAAAGATGAAATAATGACCTGCACCACCAGGTCCTTCAGTTTCCTACCCATATTTTCACAATCCTTTGTGATATTCTGAAAGGTGTGCTTTGCAGTATCATTGATTCCCACATGGACCAAAAGGAAAGGTTAAGAATCAGTGGGCTTGATGAGTCTTGTCAGTCTCTTTATTATATCACAAAATTGTGGCTCCAGGTAGACAGTAATCTCTTGGTTCATCTTGTCAGGCTTGCAGATTGTTGTTTCTGTTCCTCTGAGCAAGGAGTCCCCACCACCACCACCACTCACCTTTTCCGAGGCTTGGTAGGGGCCCCTCGCTGTGCAGATGGTTCCAGGGTCCTCTGGATATTCTTTTCAGGTGGAAAATACTGCCTTGCTGCTGGTCTACTTCCTGATTAATAAGGGAGAGAGGCTGGAATCTGTTCTGTAGCTGCAAGCTCTCTGTATGGCTTTTGCTCCTTATATTTCTATGTGTGACGTTCCTCCAAGCATCCATCTCTTGTGTTTGCAAACCACCTTCTTTCTCAGTGAGATTTTCCTTGTGTTCTGAATTTAAGTTAGCATTCTCTGTCCTCTCCAAGGAAACCTCCTGCTCCCTAATAGTGAGAAGATTAGAAACACAGGCCTCCAGCTGCCAGACCTTGTCTTCCAAAAGGACCACCAACTTAGATTTAGAGCATTTGTATCCAGGCACCTCATTTGTCAAGAAAACAAACATATCACAGGTGTTGCAAGTGACTGCAGCAGATCCTTCACTCTCCATCTCGACTGATTGGTCAGTGAATTAAAAAGAGAGGAAGTCTGTTCCTCCCCCTAAAACCTCCCTGCTATCCCAGATGTATGCACTCCTATTTTTCTTTCCTATTTACCAAGTCAGTCTCAAAAATAAAATCAGAGAATTTTGCACACCATTAGAGAACAAAGGTCAAAACAAACACACCCTTGCAAACCTTAAAAGGCCACAAGCCTAGGGGAAAAACACACACCAAATAAAATGTCCTCCCAGACAACAGGTCTCCTTCTGCTTCCTCTGCAGGAAAAGGACATTGCATATACATTGCATAGACATGAGTATTGCATATACATTAAGGGATTCCAGTCTTTACCCAGAATGTCCAAAATATCCCGTGTTACATCAGTGTTAGTTTTCCATGGATTAGTTGGCCTTTTTAAAGGCCAGTTCTCTATGGTAATATGATTCACAGTGATGAGACTCTAGACTGTGGTTTCTCTGTTCCAGAATCTATGTCCGTAAGAAGTCATAGGTATGTATTGTTCAGCAGTATGTTGTTCCTATTTGTAGGGGCAAAAATGAGGACTGAGGGCCATTATTTATTTATTTATGTATTTATGTATTTATGTATGTATGTATGTATGTATTTATGTATGTATGTATGTATGTATGTATGTATGTATGTATGTATGTATGTATGTATGTATTTATTTATTTATTTATTTATTTATTTATTTATTTATTTATACCCTGCCTATCTGGCCATAATATCTTGCCATTCATCATTTACTGTGGGCTAAACCGCAGAAGCCTGTGCTGCAGGGTCAGAAGACCAGCAGTCGTAAGATCGAATCCACGCGACGGAGTGAGCGCCCGTCGCTTGTCCCAGCTCCCGCCAACCTAGCGGTTCGAAAGCGTGCAAATGCGAGTAGATAAATAGGGACCACCTCGGTGGGAAGGTAAACAGCGTTCCGTGTCTAAATCACACTGGCCATGTGACCACGGAAAGATTGTCTTCGGACAAACGCTGGCTCTATGGCTTGAAGAGCGGGATGAGCGCCACCCCCTAGAGTCGGACACGACTGGACAAAAATTGTCAAGGGGAACCTTTACCTTTACTACATTTGAAAGGGTTAAATTCAGGTTTTCAGCAGCTTTTTTTGTGTTACAATTATTGGCCTGAGTTTCTGAAACCTTTTTTAGAGTTTGTTGCCAACTCTATGTCCTCCAACTGCTGTATAAGGTGCTGTTCTTTTCAAGTTAGGCAGGAATTGTTGTTTGTTTCTAATGTGTGAATCTCATTTTCTGGTTGGTGGAAGTTTGGGTCTGGGTTAGAAAATGTACGGGGGGTGCTGCTGTCAAAATCCCTGCTTTTAATTAGGGTGGCTATGAGTTGGAGTGTTGCTTTCAGGTTGAATATTTCTTGATGTAGTGCATGTAATTTATTGAAGATGCTTTGAGTTGATTTTGCAAATAGGAATCACTGGTCCCATAACTGAGTGTAGATAATTTTGATGTCTTCATTATCAGGCCCATAAGATTTGTCTATTTGTTCTTCTATGGATATACTCTTTGGATCGGTGTTTGGTAAGTTTGGATTTTTGTCAGGCAAGTCCATTGATAAAATTGATGACCTTTCCTGTAATCCTGGGTCCACCGATCAATTGCTAATCAAGTAGCCAAAAAGGTCTTCAGTCACATCATTTATTTGAAAATCTCTGATGATCACATTCAAATCTTGATTTTCAGACATTGTGTTGCTGGTAAACTTCACCAGGGAAAATTGATGTTTCTTGCTCTCTTAGGTTTCAGCCACAACAAAGAAGCAAAGTTCTTTTAATGAATCAACTTTAGCAGTTTAATACTTTTTAAGTATTAAAAAATAAAGACTAAAAAGGGAGCAGAGCTTGATACAAATGCTGTTCCTCCCTCAGACCAGACTATGTGTAGTCCAGTTCAGTGATGCCCAATTCCATGCTAGATTTTGGAACTGCAACCGAGGGTGTCTATCTCCGGACTAGATCAGATGGAAAGCTCTTTAATCTCTCTAGATTGAGAGCGAAGACCAAAGTCCAACTGAAATTCATGCAGGACTTCCTCTTCGCAGATGATGCAGCCATTGTTGCCCACTCTGCTGAAGACCTCCAACAACTCATAAATCGATTCAGCAAGGCCTGCCAAGACTTTGGACTAACAATCAGCCTGAAGAAAACACAAGTCATGGGCCAGGGTGTGGACTCACCTCCTTCTATTACCATCTCCACACAAGAATTGGAGGTTGTTCATGACTTTGTGTACCTTGGCTCAACCATCTCTGACACCCTGTCTCTGGATGTTGAGCTGGACAAACGCATTGGCAAAGCAGCTACCATGTTCTCTAGACTCACAAAGAGAGTATGGCTCAATAAGAAGCTGACGACACATACGAAGATCCAGGTCTATAGAGCCTGTGTCCTAAGCACACTCCTGTACTGTAGTGAGTCCTGGACCATTTGTGCATAACTAACTAACTAACTAACTAACTAACTAACTAACTAACTAACTAACTAACTAACTAACTAACTAACTAACTAACTAACTAACTAACTAACTAACTAACTAACTAACTAACTAACTAACTAACTAACTAACTAACTAACTAACTAACTAACTAACTAACTAACTAACTAACTAACTAACTAACTAACTAACTAACTAACTAACTAACTAACTAACTAACTAACTAACTAACTAACTAACTAACTAACTAACTAACTAACTAACTAACTAACTAACTAACTAACTAACTAACTAACTAACTAACTAACTAACTAACTAACTAACTAACTAACTAACTAACTAACTAACTAACTAACTAACTAACTAACTAACTAACTAACTAACTAACTAACTAACTAACTAACTAACTAACTAACTAACTAACTAACTAACTAACTAACTAACTAACTAACTAACTAACTAACTAACTAACTAACTAACTAACTAACTAACTAACTAACTAACTAACTAACTAACTAACTAACTAACTAACTAACTAACTAACTAACTAACTAACTAACTAACTAACTAACTAACTAACTAACTAACTAACTAACTAACTAACTAACTAACTAACTAACTAACTAACTAACTAACTAACTAACTAACTAACTAACTAACTAACTAACCTAACCATGAATTAAAGAGAAAACTTGCCTTAAAACTAAAGTGAACAAGGAGACTCAAATACATTTTCCTGCTTCTTTGAATAGTTTGTTTCTACAGAATATACTGTGTGATAGAAGTTTAACAACTTACTTTTGTCTAACATTCTCATTAATGCTGGATATATACTTACATTTTAGCTCAAGTTTGATGAAGTCTGAATTTCCCAGATTCTCAAGGAACACTCCATCAGGAGCTGATGTTTTGAAGTAGAAGGAAATGTCAGCACTAGTTTCCCCTTGAAAGGTAGAGAAATGGAGATATGAAGATGGAAAAATGAATGATGCTGCATTCCAATAATTCTCTGTGGAGACATAAGAAACAAGAAAATGTTTCTCTCTGTGTTTCTTTTGAATTATGTTTTATTTAGAAATTGAAGGCAGCATTATCAACCACATTAGTACTTAGGAAAGTAACTTAGGGCAGGTTGTGAGGCACCAATATTTATTTATTTATTTATTTATTTATTTATTTATTTATTTATTTATTTATTTATTTATTGGACTTATATACCGCCCCATAGCGCTACAAGCACTCTCTGGGCGGTTTACAATTGTAATTATACAGGCTACACATTGCCCCCCCAGCAAGCTGGGTACTCATTTTACCGACCTCGGAAGGATGGAAGGCCGAGTCAACCTTGAGCCGGCTACCTGGGATTTGAACCCCAGGTCGTGAGCACAGTTTTAGCTGCAGTACAGCGTTTTAACCACTGCGCCACGAGGCTGCTTTCCAAAGTCTCATGGCTGCCTCCTATCCTATAGGTTTTGCCACTGAGGCAGTTGCTCCATTTTGACCCATTTCAATTCTGAAAGCAGTGGAATTGGGAATATTTGCATACCAGCAGAGGATTCTGGGATAGTGGGGAAGAGCTCACCGTGAATAACAAATCAGAGGGACATGGTCTCATTGGATCAAGCTAGCAGCTTGGGATCTAGCTCATTGGGAGCATTTGCATATCAGCAGAGGATATTGGGAAACTGAGGAAGAGCTCACCATGAACATTAAGCAGAGAGACTTGGTCTTCTTGGATCAAGCTAGTGGTCTGGGTACTACCTCATTGGGAGCATTTGCATACCGGTAGAGGATTCTGGGAGAGTGGGGAAGAGCAGAAGATACTTGGAGAGTGGGGCAGAGCTTACCGTGAACAACAAAGCAGAGGGACTTGGTCTTGCTGGATCAAGCTAGCAGCCTGTGTGCTGTTAGGTGCACAAATCATACACCCAAACATCTAAATTGGGGCTACAAAGGAATATCTGTTTGCAGCACACTTGGAGTATCTGTTGGGACTAGAAAAGAATACCTATTTGGAGCTGCATGACCCTGAAAACCATGGAGAATGAGGCTAGCACTGTGGTAACCTGCAAGCTGTGTGCTATGTTTCTATGCCTGAGGAAGACTCCAATTATACCTGCGCCAAATGCAAATCACATTACTGGGGGAGAAATTGGAGCATCTAGAGGCATGTCTAGCCACTCTCAGACTCATCCAGAAAAATGAACAATTCCTGGAAATTTGCATGTGTGCAAACTGAACATAGCAAGGGAGAAACAACTGCTAGTTTGAATACCAGGAAAAATGGAGCCCATGAAGACAAGCAACGGCAACATATCACTCAGAGGACAAAGAAAACAAGAAGACTATCCCTGCCACTGGAACTGAACAACCAATTTCATGCTCTCCTCCAGAAGAAGATGTACGGACATTCAAATATTAAACTTCATCAAGTGTTCCAGTGACAGGACGAAAAGCAGCTCAGGTTGCTACAGGGAAGAGGAGCTTGTCAGATACCCCAAAAAGGAAAAGATGTGTGGTAGTAATTGGTGACTCACTTCTTAGAGGAACAGAATCAGCAATCTGCAGACCAGAAAAGTTTTAAGGGAAGTATGTTGTTTCCCAAGAGCAAAGATTAAAGACGTGACAGAGAGGTTTACCCAAATTATCAAGCTTGCTGATTATTATCCCCTCCTTATCTTTCACAATGGGACCAATGATACAACAAAGAAGCGCTTAAAAAATAGCAAGGGACTATGAGCAGGAAGGCAAAAGAACTGTCAGCTCATGTGCTATTTTCATCTGTACTTCCAACAGAGGGTCAACATCCAATGAGGGAATGGAGGATGTCATGGTTGTGAATATTAAGGTTAAAACTTGAATTGAAGATGGGTTATATAGTTGTGGAGAATTATAAAATGGATCCATATTGGTTCTGTGTTAGAATGATTTTGTATGATGGAAATGTTTTCTCTAAGAGGCGAAGGGAAAGTTCCATGTAATCAGCCATGTTAGAAGACAATCAGGAGTAAAGACACAACATATTGTCTGGATCTAGACCTGAGACAAGGAGATGAAAAACAACACCTGGAGAGCAATCACACATAGTCGAGGCTGAGAGATGATGTGGAAGAGGAGGAAGAAGACAGAGAGCCTTTTCCCTCAGTCCCAGTAACTCAGAAGCCTCCAGGCGCAGCAGCAGCCAATGGAGTCATGGGCAAACCTCCAACACCAATAAGTCTTGACTTATCATCAACAGATCGTTTGACTCTGATGATGTCAGACCTCGTAGCTTGCCAGAGGGAGTTCATGCATTCACAGCAGGTAGGTGAATTGCAAAGACAGGAATGTGTCAAATTTGAGAAAGAGCAAGCTGAGATTAAGGCTAGAGAGAGGGCACGTAAGCGTGAGTCTCTGAACAATTATGACAGAAAAAAATTACCCTTTTACACTGAAGGAGCTGACACCTTAGATTATATGATTAATTATGAGATGTCATGTAAGGATTTGGGAGTAACTAGGCACCTCTATGTAAAACTCCTACATATCCAAGTAACAGGGCAGCTGGCAAATATTTTAGCTTGCCAGGGAGGCAAAGATATTTCGTGGGAGGAGTTCAAAGACCTGGTGCATCAGCGCTTCAGGTACATTGCAGAAACAATGAGGCAGCAGTTCAGAAGTATCAAAAAGAATTACAAAGAAAGATTTTCTGCATTGGCAGATAGAATAGAACAGGTTGGAGACCAGTGGTTAGAGACTGCTGGGGCGAAAACCACTGCAGAAATGAGGCGGTTCATGAGTGAACATTTTCTAAGCATGGTGCCTGTTGAGCTTAAAAGCAGCCTGATGGAAAAACATTATACTAGCCTCCAGCAGATGGTGTTAGCTGCAGACAAAATGTGGGCTTTCCGAAAGGAAGAGAGGCTTCAGAAACCTAAACCTACTTCAGAAGCCCCCAAAAAGCAATTGGACTTTAAAAAGTCTACATAGACTGCTCCGCAGGAAGTGAAGCGTACTTCCTTTGGGGATCATAAAGGAAGGGGCATGGGAACACCAGCTTACTGCATAAAAATGTTACCAGTGTGGTGGCAATCATCATAAATGTGACTGTCCTAAAGCAACTGACTATTCTAGCCAAGTGCCAAAGACACCGAGTAAAGCCCCTCCAGTTCCCCCATGTACTCGCATCACAATGCCTAAGGTAAAATATCTCAGTTATTCACACCAGGAAAATCAGCAGGAGCCCAAAGAACAAGAAGCACAGCCTGTGGGTAGTCAGAGCCATTACCCTAACCAAGAGGTCTTACTGCCTCTGCCTGGACAGGAGTTAATCTTTCCATGCCTCCTGTGCCAGCCAGGGAGAACAAAGGAATTCCAGCCCCTCCAAACTACCAGCAACATGCATACTTGGAGCTGCAGCCCAGTGGAAAATTACTGAAGCTGAGCAGCATTTTGAAAATCAGCTTCCTTATACAATTGTGGATCCTAATATTTTGCTGACCTAGGAGCAACTGCTTTGGTCGAACCAGTGGTACCGTGAGTCCATTGAGATTATAACCCACGGGAATGTTGCCCAAATAATTGCTGTTAGAGATTCGGCTGCTGATTTAAGTTCGATTTGCAAAAACTATGTTCCTCCTGAACTGATTTTGCCAAATTTGAGGTATCCAATCCAGGCATATTCTCTGGATGGGACTGGGGAAGTATTGGCACCTTTAGCCTATTTGACTCTGCTCAGCCGTTTTGGAGTGCACAGACACCCGGACACTACCTACATGAAGGGCTCCTGGCAAGAGACGGGCTGCACCTCACAAGCACTGGGAAGAATGTATTTGGCAGACATCTAGCTCAACTCACCCGAAGGGCTTTAAACTGACTCTACAAGGGGAAGGAAGACAATCTCTAGGACCAAACGCAAAGCACAAACCCCTAGACACTGAACTTGACAATGAGGAAGGAAGTGGTGAGAAGGAAGGGACACTCACAAGCACTGGGAAGAATGTATTTGGTAGACATCTAGCTCAACTCACCCGAAGGGCTTTAAACTGACTCTACAAGGGGAAGGAGGACAATCTCTAGGACCAAACGCAAAGCACAAACCCCTAGACACTGAACTTGACAATGAGGAAGGAAGTGGTGAGAAGGAAGGGACACTCAAGTATAAAACACAAGATACAGCAAGCAAACAAAAGGCCAGCCATAAAGGGCTCAGATGTGTATACACTATGGGGAACACACAGGGAGAACTCGAATGTTTTCCCCATTTTTCCATTTCTTATACATGTTTTTTTAACACTTAGTTCAGTTGAAAGTTCTTTAGTCAACCATTCTTGTTTCTTTAGACATCTCCTGTTTTTCCTTCATTTTGGAACATTTTTAGATTGTGCCTTTATTATCTCTCTTTTAAGAAATTTCCATCCATCCTGAACTCCCTTCTTTTTCACTATCTTTGTCCATGGAATTATAGCCAGTAATTCCCTACGTTTACTGAAATTGGCCTTCTTAAAGTCTAGAATGCATATCTGGTTGCACTTGGCTTCCCCTTCCCACTGTATAACAAATTCCAAGAATGAATGTGTGGCCATCTGCTCCAGGAAGACATCTTCTAACTCCTCGGGCTGGCTTGGAGGTCTGTTATATACCTGCAAAATGACATCCCTTTTGTTTCTCTCCCCCTTAATTCTTACCCAGATGCTCTCAGCCTGGCTTCATGGATTTAAGTCTTGGATCTCTTCATAAGTATAAACATCGTTGACATATAAAGCTGCTACTCCTCCTTTCTTGCTAGTTCTATCTCTCCAAAATAGTTTATACCCCCTAATAACTACATTCCAGTAATGAGTTTCATCCTACCAGGTTTTAGTGATACTTATTATACCATATTTATTTTGCTATATTAAGAGTTCCAGTATATAGTATACTTAGACTTCAGTAAGGCATTTGATAAGGTAGACCACAACCTATATCTGCGTAAGAGAGAATAAAGTGGGATAAAAAGTGCAACAACCAGATGGATTTGCAGCTGGCTGA